AACGCTGGACCTGGACGGAAGAATGAAGGAGGGAAAATTGGAGAGAAACTCAGATTTCCGAGAGGTGTTATTTAACCCGTTTTGCTAATCTCTTCGAGTGAAAAGTCTCCTTTATGCTTTCTCCTTGTGCAACCTATTTCTGACAACTGTCTTACTCTCTCCATCGGAAGAGAGTTTCTTCCAAAATGATGCTGGTTTCTTACAACAAGCCCGCGTGGTCAGTGTGCCATCGCGGTGGGCCAGGCAGGTCCCCGCTGGAGCCTTGCACCTGCTGTCCCAGGTCCTGTGCACAGATAGGTCAGTACTCACGCAGGGTGCCCCAGAGCATGTGGTCCCAATTACTCACTGTGGACATCCAGTGATGCATTTCTGCACATCTTCCCCCTAGGGAAGAAGAGTTTCATGCTGCAGAGAGAGCTAAGAGACACTTGCAATGTTTTAAGAAGAATGCGTTCAGCTAAGACCCAAAGCAATGAGGTCTTGGAGAAAGCCAGGTGGAATCCTACGCTGTGGAGGAGCAGCCTCTTGCTTCCCCTTCCTGTCTGGACCCTGTTTCACAGGCTGCTGCCCTGATACCTGTGCCTGTGCCTCATTCCTTGAAGGGTGCAGTTTTCCATCTCGGGTGCATTATGACGACCTCACTCATGGGTTCCATAGAGAGGCTCAGTCTAAACGGAGCCTTTTTTTATCCTCCTCCATATGTACAGGCACACGGTATGTTGCATCTGCTGAGGATTTTCTCTCTAAGGCATCTGTTGCTTGTGCATACGGTGAGCTGGGTAAGAGTGATCTCACTTGTCCAATCGTTCATTCGAGCATCGCACTAACAAGCACCTACCAAGTACCTGTGAATAAAGATGTGGGGTCTCAGGAGACGTGAACGGTGCATGGGGTGGGAGCAGGTGCAGGAAAGGTTTTGTGTTTCAATTAAGTCTTCTCCTACCTTCTTCTGCTCCATCTCCCGTGCCTTTCCCACATGCTGATTTCACTGTGGACTTCCTTGCTGCCTGGGAACACGACACGCCGTGGCCTTGATCTTCTGTCTGCCTGGAAGGCCCTTCTCTCAGTTATCTGCATGGGCTGTTCTGCCACTTCCTTCAGGTCTCAATTCAAACATCCCCAGGAAGGCCCTCACTGGTCCCCCTACTTAGAATAGCTGTCCCCACCCTGACAGTCCTGATCCTCTTTCCTCTGCTTCTCCACCGTCGTCTTCTTCAACCTAACCTTATAAGTTACACGAGGATAACACTTGTTCTCATGGGTGTGTCCCCAGTGCGTAGAGCGGTGCCTGGAACGTAGTTGGCACTCAGTATTTGGTGAGCGGATTAATTTATCTGTCAGCTCATGCACTGATTTATTTGTTCACTGAATTGTGTCCTGCCCAGCACTGCCCTTATACACCTTACACTCTAGCACACATATAGGAATAACCACCATTTTTTTAGTGGTTACTGATGACTTTGCATTTGTCACTTATTTCACCCTCACAACAGCCCATTTCACAGATGAGGAAACATTCTTGGACCAGTTAAACGACTCGACCGAAGTCAAGTAGCTACTAGGTACTGCCACTGTGCAAAGCTCTTGGCCAAGCCACTGAAATAGCACGCTTCTCTGCTGACATCTAGGTGATATCTTATCTCCATAAAAAATTTTAAAATATTTTAAATGCTGTATATTTAAATAGCGACTCTCAACAAACAATCCCTTAGCACGGGCCCATGGCGGGGCAAGCATCTCTTGAAATGGGATGTCCCAGGGACTCTCACGCCCCCTTTCTTCCTGCTATGTCCATCACCTCCTGTATTTTCTCTCCTTCCTAATTCCACTTCAAATGACTGTTTTATTTATTTTCTCATCTACATCTGCCTTTTCTTTCTGCTGTTCCTAAGCCGCCCACTGTGTCTGTCCTCTGGGACTCTGATTCCATCCCTTTCTGTCACTTCTTCCTGTGTCCATTTTTTTCCTTCTGTTAATAAGTATGTGTAGACTCTACTGTCTCGAAAAATACTCGCACCCCCTGCCACCCACCACCAACAACAAAGGTCCCTGTGGACCCTGCCATCCTTCCCAGCTCCTGGTCAACTCTGTGTCCTGAGACTTCCTCCCCTTAGATATACGTCGTCCTCCAGAGCCACAGAGAATTCCCGTGCACAGTTCCATAGGACAGCCCATCCGGTAGTTGTCAAAGGCAACCGTCACTTCTCCCAAAGGCTTCTCTGCAAAGCCGCAGTCCCTTGATCTTTCAGTCGCTCTGCAGTCACATAATTTTTGAGTTATCTAAAAACCATGTAGCTTTCTGAATGTGTAATTAATAATCTTTGTGATCTTGTTTAAACCAGTACTAAACTATCTTTTTTTATATAATGGAGAAAATATTTAAAAGGTGTAACTTGCTCAGATCGTCTGCCTTTATTTTATTTTATCGGTGATGCTTTATATGTAGTTTCTTAGGGAATAATACCAGGTACGTGTTCCCCGACTGAAGCTGTCCCTGTGTTTTTGACGTTGTCTGGATTACATACAGTTTTTAGGTATTCTGCTTTAGGTTCATATAATCCATAGAATTGCCGAAGTATTTTTTAGATGTATTCATCACTTGAGCCTCCAGGTCTTTGAATCTATATGCAGGATAATCCCTCATTCCTATTACTTTTCAGTGCAGTAGACGTCATGCACCACCGCAGTCCGCTGAGATAATGTTAGATCACAGCTCTGCATCCAAGGCCGTCCACTAACCTCGTGACATTAGGGTGCTCTGTCTCTNTGCAGGATAATCCCTCATTCCTATTACTTTTCAGTGCAGTAGACGTCATGCACCACCGCAGTCCGCTGAGATAATTTTAGATCACAGCTCTGCATCCAAGGCCGTCCACTAACCTCGTGACATTAGGGTGCTCTGTCTCTTTCCCTTCAAATCATTGATGGAAATGTGGAGGGCGTGGTGTCGTGTTTTCAAACGTTGGTGGCACGCACCATCTCATTGTGTTTCTGGAATTGAGTCCTTTGGAAATGTCCCCAGCTC